TCCGTGGCGCCAATGAATCCCTCAGGCGTCATCTTGCTATCGTAGTGCGCGACTAGCGTAAGCAAGTTACTCTGTCCCTCCTTCACCCATGGCGGTTCACGCTTGAACAATAAATTCTGAAAGGGGATATCGCGATCCCCCGTCACGGGTGTCTTGCCCGTCGAATTGAACCACTCGATGCTCCATTTCGGCAGCTCGTTGTGGAAATAATTGACGAAATGCTTCTGCGCCGCGGTTTGGCCTGGTGTTCCGGGGACCCTCGGAATGAGGATTGGCGCTAACAGTGTCCCATTGTCGATATTGAAGTCGTCGCCGCCTGATGGCACGATCTTCAGAAAGTTGTCCGAGAGCTTCGTGTATGCTAGCGCGGGTATTATGATTGATAGTAGTACTAATAATCGCTGCAATAGCGATGAGTTGTGTGCTGAATACATGGCGTTGTTGGCCCCTAGCGGATGATAAGGGAAAGAAAGTCGAAACCACATGCAAATAGCCACTTCAATGCCCTCGGCTGTTACGTGCTTTCTACCTCGAGCCAGCGAGGTCGCTCATAATCGCCGGGCGAGTGGATCCAGACCAGTTCCGATGACCGAAACAACCGACGGGCATGTAATTGTCGCGATAATCAGGTGATAACCTGTTTGACATTGGATGAATGAGCGTGAATGTGTTGAAAAGGACACGCCCCAAGTTTTGCCGTGTCAGGAATTTGGAGATTCAGAGGTCCCCTGGCCAGATGTTTCGGCGCCATGCAAGGCTGAAACGGATGTGCTAAGGGGGGTTGCCCGCGCTGCGTTTGAACGTTACAGGGGTGTTCCCCTCATATTCCAGGGCCATTAGGTTCCTGAGTGGAAATAAGCTCATTGTGAGAAACAATAAGTGCCGTACGAGACTCTTTATTTTGTCTGTGATGATGGCACTACTATTTCGGACATTTGGCATAAATTCTCTGCTTGCGCCGTTTACTCGTGTCCAAGCAGTCGATGTAGGCGACAATGTGAATGCAGCACTCCCATTCGTCATAAACACATGGGGAGGGCCCTTCACTGTTGCCACTGATGCTGCGTATCTATCATTGCTAGACTCGCAGACCTCGGCATTAGATGCTGTTGAGCTGGGATGCACTACTTGTGAAGAAAACCAATGTGACGGAAGCGTAGGATATGGAGGCTCACCGGATGAAAACTGCGAGGTGAGTCATTCAGTACTCAGCCGGCATAGTGTCATTCAAGAGACGAAATATGATAACGAATGAACATTAACTTTTTGGTCAGACCACTCTCGATGCGATGATAATGGATGGGACGACCATGAAGTCTGGCAGTGTAGCTGCCATTCGGCGGGTCAAAAATGCCATCGGCGTTGCTCGTGCTGTGCTTGAACACACGACGCACACCATGATCGCTGGTGATTTCGCCACCGACTTTGCCATGTCAAACGGATTCGCAGTCGAGAATCTCACAACCACGGACTCGGAAGCATCATGTGAGGATTGGAAAGCTGGAGGCTGTCAACCAAACTATCGTATCAATGTAACGCCTGATCCGTCGACCTCGTGTGGGCCATATTCTCCGTTACCGCTCAACTCGAGTGATCAGTCTTACACGTCAAAGTTACAAACCGGCACCACTCCCGAAGGTCATGACACTATCTCCATGATCGTAATCCATAGCTCGGGCACTATGGCTGCCGGTACTTCGACTAATGGCGCCAGCCGAAAGGTGCCTGGCCGCGTGGGCGATGGTCCGATCACGGGAAGCGGATCATACGTGGATGGAGATGTCGGTGGTTGTGGTGCTACAGGTGATGGAGATATCATGATGCGGTTTCTGCCTTGCTATCAAGCTGTTGAGAACCTGCGGCTGGGCATGAGTCCTAGCGCTGCCGCTGAAGATGTTGTCACTCGGATGCTGAAGAAGTATCCCGAAGTACAGAGCGGTATCGTAGTTGTTGATAATAAGGGGGAGCACGGCGGCGCTGGATCAGGCTGGACTTTTACCTACTCCTATCGTGGAGGGACCATGGATGAAACCATGGTGGTGAGCGTTCCCTCTCTTAATGAATCTGCCGAGCTTTAATATTATAGGATTACTTAAGTTGCAATGTACGAACAGTTCTAGTCTTTAGGACTAAGAACATTGCCAAATGCCAGGGAACCAAGACAGAGACAGCATAAGCATGGAATCAACTTCGGAGCTTAAGCCCGAATAAGGTCATCCATACTCTTGGGTTCTATAGTGATTGTATAGCTTAAATTCTTGTTCTTGCCAATTTAGATCCGAGGTACTCTTCGAACCGGGTTTCAGGGAGTCAAGTTTGTCTGTGTAAATTTTGAAGCTAACTTGCAAAGCCGCCATGCCGTTGCTCTGTAGCCGTACGAGACTGCTTCTTGGAACTATTCTGCCGTCGCATAGCACACTTTCACCGTCGCTTAATTTACCTCTTCCGGGATATCCACCCTTAACAATACGAAAAGGCCAAAACCCACCTATCAGATATGCATGATGCCAACTCTAAGCGCAACGCTAGGCGCAACAAGAAAATCCAGCAGTCACTTGAAGAGCAGCATGCCGTGCACAATGAGGCACCAAGAAGCTTGCCGGGCCTCTGGTTCATTTACCGCTAGGTCGGCTTGGAGTGAAATCCTGGCTGCTTCAGGCCTCGACTATGCCTGTTCTTTTGCAACGGCAACTTGGAAGCGCGGGAGTCACAATGCACCAATCTGGCAACGGCGTGTATTATGCATGCCCTGCCCCAAGGATCTCAGTCCTCGGAACAACCTCAGGAGTTGGAACTAGTGAGAAAATCAGTGAAATGTGATAGGTGGCAGAGGAAAGGTGTTAGATAGTATAGCTTGGTTATTCAAGTACCTATTTAGCAACCTCTGACACTGGCCATTGGGCGAGATCGCCCAATGGCAATCCGGTATCCTTTGATATTAGTGATTCGGTAGGATCTGCATTGATTATCCGGCGAGCCTGGCAATGGCTATTCGGAAATGTTAAATATTTATATCTGGGTCCTTAACGTTATTGTTTGAGTGTGTTTTAAGCTTAGAGAAGGTTACAAGCATACCTATAGAAATTGGGTTCAAACATGCTAAAAGAACATATTAGCCAGCAATTGGACGTCGCCAGCCTTGTCACCTTGTAGGTTGTTGTGCTATCATCTTACGAGATACTGAAATCTTGTAGAGTGCCAGTCTCCGTTATTTGGTAGGGAGACAGCAAGATTTGAATCGAGGCCAGACGCCGCTCTGCAAGAGTAACAACGGCGAGAATAGCCTATGGACTATCTCACACAATAAAATGGTAAAGTGCCATGGCCAGCAAGGTGAGATTATGGCCACCAACTGCCAGGCTAGTGAGAGAAGTGACAACTTAGGTATGCTTGAGGAGATTCAACGGCTCAGTAACATCATCCTTGTACAGGTTCGAGTAATTATCTACCACGCCAGCTTGGAAAGCACACTCGATCGTTTTCGCCGCCTCTCGAAGCAAGTGGTTCCATGCTGCACTATTCTACTATTGGCATTATTATGATCTTAGGCCTCGTCCTCTTTCTCTGTGGCGACGGAAGCTTTGTGAGGAGAGGTGCTGGAGGTGAAGTGTCTATACCAAGGCTTAAGATGGGGATTTTTGTAGCTCAGCGAGGTTAGCTTGGACGTCGTCATCCTTGTTGCCCTGGCGGTTGTCCTTCAGGAATGTTAGCGAGCTCACATAGCTTTAATACACTGACTGGCCGCTGTCAACTGTGCTCATAGCAATTGCCGATTCAAAGCACAACGTTGCTATTGAATGATCACGCCGCTATGGTGTTGATTTTGGAGTCATCCTTGCAACGGGTACCCTCTCATGGACAGGAAAGAGAAGGATGCTCACGTCGGCGAGGTAGTTTTGCCTGATGGTGAGCTAGAGGCACCATCGGGCACATTAGGAAAGGAACAAAAACGACAAGCAGATGATAGGTAACAAGAATTATTTCTTTTCAAGGCACAAAACGGCGAAAGGCTGCTGACAAAGGGTACCTTCTTCTATAAGATTCCATGATTCTTTACCGACGGCATGAATAGAAGGCACACTCAGCGATTCTCGCTTCTCGAAGCAAGTGGTTCCATGTACTGTTGTATTATTGGCACTATTGTAATCTTAGGCTTCGTTTTCTCTCCCTGCGGCGACAGAGGCTTCGTACCGCTCCTGGTACTCTTGGTCAAAGGTTTCGCGGGCCTCTTGGAACTTTGCCCGTGCCGCTTTGAATTTCTTCTCTGCGGCGTCGTAGTCCTTGTGAGCGGCACGATCGTTCTTTCCTGAGCCATGGTACTTCTCCTCGGTAACACGCAGCTCTCTCACGCTCTCCAGGTACTCTGCTTCTGCCGCCGAATAAGCCTCCGAATAATCATCGTCATCGCTTTCCGACTCCTCCTCATCATCGTCGTAGTCTGCATAATCCTCTTCGACGTCGTTCTCGTAGCCCTCTTCGTCTTCGTCCTCCTTGTCTGCATCGGTCTTGGCCAGTGTAGCATCGTACTGGGCACGACGCTTCTCAGCGCGTAGGATGTCATAGGCATGGTTTATCTGCGGCAGTCTTTATCAGTTCCCTACCCACACGTTAAGTACCAAAAAAAGGGAATGAAGACCAGCTACCTACCTCGGCCTGCTTCGCAGTAGCACCTTCAATGTTCTCCGGATGCTTGTCAGGGTGATTTGCGAGACTAAGTCGCTTAAAGGCCTTCTTTATCTCGTCTTGGCTGGCATCTTGGGCGACGCCAAGGGTAGCGTAATGGCTTGGCGATGCCATGATGAGATTGTAGAGAGAAAAGTGATGAGAATGACTCTTGCGTTCTTCTGCCGCTACGAGGCAAGCAGAAACAAGTTGTGAATCCTGGTGTGTGGACTTGGTGATGCAAGTGACGCTCATAAGACTGTGTTTCGGGGTCCTCCTTCCTTAACACAGTATAAGCGAGCTTTATATACGCCGACAAAGCCTCGCCATCAAAACAAGCCCAAGTAGTCTAATGGTCAAGATAGTGCAACCGTCACTTTCCTCCAACCTAAATTTGATAAACGCAACAGCTGCGCTGACCCATGTTCGAATTCTGGCCTGGGCATCATTATCCAACTTTTTTCTTCTTACTTTTACACTCTATAAGACAGTGTTGAAAGGCATACTCAACTATAAAATCATACTGTCGTTATTCAAAACAGAAACTAGCTGTAATAATATCGCCAGCTATAATACTGGTAGAGAATCACATTGGTGTTCGCTCCATGCAGTGCTTGCTAAAACTGGACTTGGGTTCGTGATCTGTTTGACACAGCCTGTTTGCGGACTCTAATTACCACAATGAGTATAATATGTTGCATATAGTTGTCCCAAGTAGTAACTTTCAATTTCCAATGAAGGTAAAATGGACTGCATGATGCATAAATCAGCAAAGACAGCTAATAAGATCGATGTGTGTTAATTTCTGGTGGTATAAACCCAAAAAATACATGCTTTATTTGGCCTCAGGGAGATAAAGTCGCCTCAAATTCTGCTTCCACTCCTCTTGCGAGATCCACCTCTTCGCGCCATCCTTACTATTGGGCAAAGGCAAGTAATTGTGTGGCATATTTTCATAGCGGTCTTCATCCCATGCTGGAATGTCGAGGAACTTGTGCTCCTTCTTGCTCTTGACGCCCTTCCTGCGAAGCTGGTCGTTCATGAGCAGCGCGTAGCAGTCACGGCATAGTTGCTCAACACCAACAGTGTCCGCGCAGGTGTACAGGGGCTCGTCCATCAATGTCCACTCTTTGTCACATCCATCGCAGCCAACAAACCAAGTTGGTTTCGGAGGCGCATTGGGTGGGGTTACTTCTACAATGTCTGTTGAGATCCTTGTGGGATGTGGTTGCTCGTCACTGACCTGCGCTGTGCCGTCTGGAGGGTGAGCTGTAGAAGTCTGTACAGGCTTCTCGATATCTTTTCTAGTCTCGCTGGAAGGCGAGTGCCCGCTTCCTCGAGACCGCGACCTGCCACCCGACTGAGAGCTCACGGATTGACTGGAGTCCCTTCGATGAATACTTAGGCTGTCTCGACCGTTCTTTTGGTCTGGTGGGAAAGTCCTTTTTCGGACCGGAGAATCGAGGGGTGTAGTGACCCATTCACTCCATTTCGCCAAGGCGGCGTCTTGAAGTGCATTTCGCATGGTCCAGACGATTTGGTTGTTTTCATCATCCTCAATTGTAGTAAAGAGTCTCGCCAACAGCCAATAAGCATAGTCGTCATTTTCTAATCACATTTGCGATTAGTTGAAGAAGATATGTGACGAAAGGGGGGCCAGATGTGCCTCTCGAGGATACTCACCTTCATCCGAGTCTGAAAGAAGTTCTAACCCAGTGCTCACGATCCGTCTGATCCACCGCTGAGCTACCTCAGATTTACTGTTACGCTTGTGATGATAGCGTATGAGATAGCAAACTGTAACGATCTCTGCGCTATCAATGGCATCGGCAGAGTCAGGCACCAACGCAGAAAGTAGAGAACTTAGACTTTCGATCTTCTCTTCTGAGGTGTTGGGTCGGAAAGCCTGGTCCACATAGACACGAGCTAGCGAGTCTGTCACTTCCCATATCTTAGTTCGGGGAAGCACGTCACTCGGATGGGCCTTAATCGACTCCAATGCAGCACTACGAATAGACACCACCATTTTTTCGTCAATAGTCCCACTCGATAGTTCCAACGTCTTAGCAAAGCCGTCTCGGAGAAGGAATAAGAGGTCGTATGCTTGCTGTTGATTGCCAATGTCCGTGGCAATTGTGAAGAATGTTTCAACGGCATCCCAACGACGAGTCGTATCCGCAGCCATGGCTAATATATCAGAGTTCGCTTCAGCGATTCCGGAAATGAGATCATGCACAAGTTCGTCAAAGTAAGCGTCCCAAATGCTGGTCGTCTGGTTCATCCTGTCGATGAAAGCAATGAGTTCATCCCACCTCTGGCTGTCTCGGTAACGACCAAGAACCTTCGCATAAGCTGTAAAATGAACGTAGTCTATGCAAGTTAACTCCGTGTTAGCTGGGTTTCTCATTCTTCGATCCTTGTTTGAAAAAAAGAAACGGTGATTGTCGAGTCGCAAGGGCCCTGTGGGATATTTTAGACATACCATATTCTAAACTCTCGCGATGCTTAAGAGCTGCCGTGGCAAAGTCGCCTATATCCCACAACTTATTACCCAAGTCCAATGTAATTCTAGCAATGAGTGCGGTGTTTGCAGAGTCTTGCATCCAAGACGGATCCTTGGCACGAATACTGTCGACCGCAGCCTTAGCGCGAGAAAGGAGTTCGACACCGCGTTCCAGGCTTGTACTTGGTCGGCCGGATACGAAATGGCACGCGTGCCAGTTCTCTGGATCGAGGTCAAGCGCTTTTTGTGCTCGTCTCTGGGAAACCTCTTTCTTCTCATCTTCATTGTCACAAAGCTGGAAGGCGAGAAGAGCACCGTGGATCTCCCAAAGGGATTGCTGATTTGGAGTATCTTCCAGGGCTAACTCGGTCGAAGCCCATTTCTCGATCTCTTCTAGCTTGCTCAATGGAAAATCGACGCCCTCCCAAGTAGGGAACGCCACATCTTCAGTATCTCGATAGAGAGCTGGATCATCTGGCATTTCTACACCATTGAGCTTGCAACGGAATTAGTGTTTTATTATAAGAGAAGGGTGTGCTGAAACATACTCTTGCCAAGTATCCTCTCAGGAAACAGCAACCCGACAGAAATTGGCGTTTCAGAAACTCTATGCGGAGAAATAAGTGAACAGCCATTCGCTTTGCCGCGTAACATAGTACTACTTGGTGGAGGTTCGAGGTGGGCGCTTTGATAGCATCCACAAACTTCCGGCCCGCTTCGCTGGTAACGTATCTTGTCACAGAGGAGTCCGAAAGCCACCTAAGACGGCGTGAGTTAAATCGAAATTCAGATGATGGGTACCTTGTGTATGTAGCACTCACCTAGCAATCTCGCGGACGCCAGCGTTAGAATACACCCACTCGATACGAGACTCGCGCAGTAACGTAGCCTCTCCCTGATCCCATGTTTTCGCGCTAACGTTCAGGTCTGAAGAATTGGGAGTCAACACCGATCCTTGAGTATTTCCAATATGTGGGGTGAAATAAGCAAAATCAGAAAAGTGAGGGTTACGCACCAAATGACCAGAACAATGAGTCGATCCCACAGTCCTCCGTAAACAGACGTATCAGAAGCGGCCCAACTTGCGCTTTGAGTTCTCGATCTGCAGCAGATAGATCAACATCCTCTAGGTGGTCCAAGAGCCAGTACATCGCATAGTGGCGTAGCTTTTCGTTTTGGCGAAGTCCCTCGTCTGTGAGTATCACCAAACAAGTGAATACTATCCTCACGTTTGCATTGTCCGGATCAAGACTGATGTATTCTTTAAGTCTAGCCCCAAGCTTCGTATCGAAGAATGATTCAAACTCGAACCGGTCATACAGGTCTCCGGGACACACGTTGTTCAAAAAGTGGCGGATGATATTGATTTCAGACTCTTGGATCACGTTTGATCGTTGTGGTTGGTCGCTACCCTCATTGCTAATATTTTGCTGATGACCTAGGGTTGGAATTCGGTCCGGGATTTCGGAAGACCGCCAGTCAACCATACCCGAATCAGTGATAGAGAATATTGTGTATTTCTCACGGAGCTTCTGTGCGAGTGGTAGCAGAGAGATAGTTGTGAACAAATTACGCGAGTTGGCTTCGCTAGTAGACACATTCTGCTGAACCGATAGCTGCCTCTGATCGAGGGTGCCAGGGCGAATGTTCTGATTAGTGAACGAAGGCGCGTGGTGCTTGACAGACAAGAGCGCTTCCATCATCTCGATCTTGAAATAGCGGCGACCGGTATTGATCCAGGTAATGATTTCATTGATCTCGCGGATTTCCTTCAGAGTACGGCTGCTGTTCAAGCGACGGAGCTCTGCGTCAATTTGATCCAATCGAGTTCTGCCAGCTTTTTCTAGCACATCTCTGATGTCCTCGATCAGATCGACCTTGGAAAGAGCACTCAGACTGGTGGTGAGCTTGAGGAAATCCCCAGCACACTTATCCTGTAGTTCAGCCTGGATAATCTGCCGCCATGTGGCTATACCTGATCTGCCAACATCTCTCAACATCGGCATGGTGTCCATTTGGGCAATGATGAATTTTTGAACATCAGGACCATTGCGTTCTGCTATGGGTATATCTGTGAACCTGACTCCCTCCGGGCGGCCCAGGTGTTGTGCGATCAACTCAGGTCGACCAGCCAACAGGATCCTCGTCTTGCTACGAGCGGCCCATTTAGAGAATCTCTCCAGCAGAGGAAGCAGTTCTGTGTCGACCGCGTCAATAAAAATGTAAAACGAAGTGCTGGGATTCATGCTCTCCTTGTTGTTGAAGAAAAAGCGATCCCAACGGTCGAGAGACCCGTCGAATAAGGGGGCTCTTTCCAGCGCTGAATTGATAGACTTAGTCATGGCTTCGTAGGAGGTCGCAATTTGCCAGAGCAATGTTCTCGATACACGTTCAAGAAAGCCACTTTGGTCTTCATCGTCTGTCTTTCTCTTGTCTGCATCGGCGAAATAGTAAGCTGTGATCACTCTTGTAGTACCCGGAGGGGCATCTGAGCCAAGCTTCCTTATTGATTTGATTGTGTTGGCCATCACTGTACGCCATATGTTATTAGGAGCCGATTACGCGCATAACCTTGCTCTGGATTGCGTTTGTACTCACTCGATGTCTTTCCTGTACCTCCTGGACCGTTGAGTAGTAGAATAGGTTCCTCGGCATCGGCTGAAGTAGCCCATCTATAGAATTGATCGTCTGACTTCCACCATGAGCCAGTGCCTTCCACCAATGAATTGAGGCGAGTATCGAATGCCCGCTGCCAGGCAGGTATGGGCTCTCCATCTGAATCCAGAGTTGTGCCTGGGAAGCCTAGAGATTTTGCGATAGTGCGCCGCCACTTTTTCGCATCGTCCTCGCGCCTCATCTCCTTTTGCGCCTCGAGGACTAATTTTATATCTCCCGCGCTGTCACTGACGAGTCGGTATGTCTGCGCACTGACCAGCAGCGCC